TTTATTACATATATCCGTATTTTTGGTATAATATCCAGTAACATCCTAACAATTTTCTTATTTATAAATGTTAACATCCCAGCAGAATTCAGTTAATTATTTCTTGAATGTCATGTAAGATTTCCCAGATAAAATATATGATTTTTGGAGGTTTAGACCAATGGATATAATCCTACGGCAAATTCGGAACAGTGACATCTTGACATATAATCATGAATCATGGGCGGGTAAGAAGTCCAATCAATAAATTCGTCATATCCTTCGAAAAGGATACCCGGTCAGCCGTCGAATGCATGTCGACAGCTGGTCAATGGTAATTTTCGACGATAAACTGATTTTAATTTCAGTACCGGACATTGGTTCAGTGTAAAACCTACAACCATAGTTATTGGAAGATCATTTGCTTAACACAGAATATCCACACCGGGGGTTTTATGTAAATGACAGTCTTATGAGTCATAATTTATTTCAATGGCCAGAAAAAAAAGTAAAATAAATTTTAAATAAAAATATATAAGAGTTTCTTTTATACTACTAAAATTAATTTTGAATTACTTGGTACACACATTAGAGTTGTTATGTACATTTATGATAAAATATTTAAAGTACACAAATATTCTGAAGCATTTCGTAAATGTTTAAATATTATTACAAAACTACTTATATTACAAAACAGTACTTCTAATTGCATATAATATTGAGATGCGTAGAAACGTCTAACGTTAGGTATAATAATGCTGAAAATTATCAAACAAAGTATAGATTAGATATACTACAAATTGGACCTATTTTAAATGTATATCAATTAGGATATATCATTCAAAACAAAACAAAGACGTAAATTATCAAGAAATACGTTTATGACCTGTAAACTGCTGAGATTTTTCGATAACGCTGACTGATTATTACGCATTAATGATTTTATGACACGTTTCAAGAGCAAGATTACAGAAATTGGCTGTCAGAGAGATGTACGAAAAGATAGATTGAATACCTTATGTTTCGCGGTACGGAATACTTACCAAGTACAGTATATGACATAAATTTAACAGTGGCATAACATAATTTAATAAAAATAGCATATCATAAGATAACTTAGAAAAGAAAAATCGGTACTATTCCGTTTTGAAGATGGTAAAAATTGCAGCGAAAATGTATGCCCAGAAGCGCCAAATCTAGCAAACGCGTCCTATTTAACAGCGCGCCAAATCTAGCGTACGCGCAGATTTCAATTTGCGTAAGTTTAGATAGTTCTATATTTCTTAAGACGCCATTGAAATACTAGTTTAATTTTTAAATCCTTTTTTGATATCTTATGGATTTAACAATTTGGAAATTGTTTTAAGAACGCGTTTTTAAGAATTGCACATAATCGGTATCCATGTACACATCGACCTATTTTCACTTTAAAAAAAAAATCTCAGAATTGCACAAAAATGGCACTGCGCACACCCTTGACTTTATCTATGTACACATCGACCTATTTTCACTTAAAAAGTAAAAGAAAATTGACGAAAATCCAATTGTTTTTGCCCTTGTAAAAAGCGACAAGCAAATAAGTGGGCGATTCTGACTTTACCGAGAATGTTTTCAAAGAAAAGGCATCATTCATTATAGAAAATTATGTTTGAACAACCAACGAGATGAAATTATGCTTCAGCTATAACTCGGTAGCGAAATAATGATGCAGGAATCCATTCAGTTATGTTTAGCTTTATTTTTTATATAAATTATAATAATGATTTGAAATAGTTATTTACTCTTATGCTTCCACTCAGTTATGTTTAGCCTTTTTTTATAAAAATTATAATAATAAAATATATGAAAATAACCTTTCATCTAAATTAAAACAATAATTTTTAGACAGTTATTTACTATTGTACCAATGGATATAATGCGAATTTCTTGCGTTACGGTTGCCGCAATTATTTTTGGCAGCACTGACATCAACAATAGTTTAGCGATTTTTTACGGTCCTCAAAACGGAATAGTACCGAAAAATTTTAGTACGACTCCAGCAAAATAGTACTGTAAAGTAAGGTAGTAGGCTTAGTATAATTTAATGATCCCAACATTTTAAAAACTTGAGTTATTTTTAATACCCAAAATACGTAAATAAATGGCTAGATTATATTGCGTTTGATTGTGACAATATGACATGATTATGTTAATAATAGAAACGTCTGATCAAACACTGCATGTATCCTGTGTTAGCCCATTGTGTTATTTCACCGAAAACACGCCCGTTATGTTGCATGGCCTCCTAGGACATTACATCCTTCTTGGGCGTCAGACACCTTTTGAGAGTATTAGATTTAAACAGACCAGATAGGAGATCGTAATTTAAGGTTACGGCTATCCTTTAGTATAGCCCACCCAGAGTTTTCACCAAAGAAAATCGCCAAGCATAGCGATAAATGCTAGGATGTGGTAACACATATAATTCGGCAAACATAATGTAAACAACCGTAAAAATCTGGAATTACAGTTACAGCTAACATTTACAGATAATAATTGGTCAATTACGTTTATTCAATTTCAATACAAATTGCCGAGATATTCATTTACTCAAAGTCAAATGCACGTAACCCTGTATTCTTACTTTTCCGACATAGCTTTCTCTTCAAATTTGTCTCGCTCTACATTGCACGAGGAACTACAACAATTTTAATTATAATTCTACTAAAACTAACTATCTAATTCAAAATTCGTAACATATCTATCGGTTATTATTTAACGCTCAGACATAGTGGAGAATATTGTTTTGGAGATTAGATTTTTGGCTACTTTGGAGGTGCGATTTTTAAAACATCGCACCTCCAAAGAATCGCACCACCTCCATTATGAAATTAAAAATCGCACCTCCTCCATTATGGCTTTCTGTAAACTTGCTGATCTAGGCAATAGATAAAGGTGGACGTGGCGCTATACCGATTAACCGTATTGGTAGAGGAGTGGTGCCCAAGTCCTCCGTCGCATGTCGCATGTAAACTTGCTGTTAGTGATGTTGTATCAGGAGATCTTAAAGGAAAATTTACGGTGGGAATTTTCAAACAAGCGTCAATTTTGGGAAAACCGGTATTCCAAACAGATATTTTATGTATGAATTAATAAGAGATTATGAACATTTTAGAGATTTTTAATGGATTGTGGATTATTGAAGGATAGAGTTTGTTGTGAAAAATGTAAGATACCATGTGGATTAGTTAGAAAACGTCATCCAATGGTAGTATTTCGAGATACAAAAAGTGTGGGGCTAAGAAATCAATTAGGCTAAGATCTTGGTTCGCCTGTAGTAAGCTTAATTTACAGTTAATTAATTTTGAACTACATAACAATTTGTTAAGGACGAAATATCTAAATGTTTTTAGCATTGTTTTAAAAAATTACATCCTTTTAACCTTAATCATTTTCATTAATCATTCCTTGACATTTAATTTTCTTTTAAAATCATGTATAATAGTCGTAAATTTATTTCTATTATCCATGATTTCTGGTGAAGACACGATGGTCGCCAGTTTCGTCGGATATCTTGATGGTAACCATTTCTCAAAACACGGTATTTGACGCGCTCGCTACATTTCGAGGGTGGGCTATACTGAAGCTGTTCCAAAATTAAAAAAATCTTGATAAACTTTCCTATGAAAAACTAAATTAAGCTTTTTTTAAACTCTTTTAATGGTTATGTTGGTGGTGGTACTATGCTGACCTAGTGAATGTTTTAATTTTATGCAAATTATTACTGTAAATACTGCTTATTACTGTAAATTATTAAATTATGGACGAGTGACTGATGGTCTTAGATGATTAGTAATTCAAAATCGAACACTTTTCGAAACGCAAATTGCGTAGCTTAATTAAGAATAATTTCATTCGGGAGCAAATTCAGGATGAGCTTCATAAGGCTGGTTATTTGGGTAATACTTTTGAAAGTTTGACAATTCAATAAAACAGTAATTCTGTATAATTGAATTATTTCTTTCTTTCCTTGAAATAACTTCCTCAAGTGTTTCTAGAAGCTAGCGCTACTAAAATAAATTTTAAGTAACCGATGAATTAATTCCTGATGTATAGATATTTTAGGGCTATCTTCAGAATTTATTTCTAATAAAAACACACTCGGTTAGGCAACAAAATTGATTTTGTGAACTTGTTCTTTGCATAAGCACCCGCAATATTCTTATTAACTGACCTTAATTTTTAGCCTTATGATTTAAAGATATGTAGGGTATGGCAAATAAAAGTGGCTCAGAAAACAGAGTAACTCTGTTCTCAGGGCCACTTTTATTTTCCATAATGCTCCAAATGATATTTTCAACTTCTTGGTGTAATCTAACATTTAGCATAAATTGATTAACTAGATAAATTGTTTACTAAGATTACTTGAAATTAATATCACAAGAGTCTTGAAATAAGCCATGCTGATTTTTCTAGGACATATTCCTAAATATTTGCTACACATAATATTTTACACTACGGTTCAAGAAAACCACTCCATCGAAAGTAGCAAATTTGTCAAGGCGGTACACAACAGTTAATCTTACAATGAAGTAAAATTTTAAAATAATCCTTTAATATTTCATTTTTGCCAATTTTTTTTTTTTTTTTTTTTTTTGTTAGCAACAACTCATAATCTCTTAGGGTTAAGATTTAATAATGAATTACATATGAAAATGTATCATGGATCTTCATTATGCTACGAGCTTGCACTCGCGAACGTTGGTTATTGGCACAAACTAAAAGAACAATATAGAAAGGCAAAAAGTTCATTAACACACGTGAAGCACGAACGCGTGGCGTTTATTATAACGTACGACCTTAGTTCAAAAGCTTTGTTTCTATTTCAAATATAAATATGACTGGCATTGAATGATACCTGAAAAGAAATACGCCATAGGGAATATTCAGTTACATTTTTTTTTTCAAAAAGTTTAACAACAGTGTTGAATTGACAAGTCGATAACGCCTAGCTATAAGTTCTTCCAAAATATTCACTTCAAATGGATAGAAGAAGGAGATTTAGAAATACTACCAGGTCTGACAAATGTGGACTTATATTTCCTGTTGCTAGGATTAAAGCGATATTAAAAGTGGCCCATTCCTTCAAAAGAGTCAGCGATACAGCTGCAGTATTTATCACGGCAGTTTTGGAATACTTAGTAGCAGAAATACTGGAAATGTCCTTGTGTAAAGCAAGAGAATGTTCTTCCTGGCGTATCCAACCAAGACATCTGAATGTTGCCGTTAAGTCAGACTGCGAACTTCTTCCACATTTCAGAACATCAACTATCCCAAATGGAGGTTGCTTAGCACTGCTTTTGGCATCTCAGCTGAAGAAGGATAACAATTTACATGAAGTAATGAAACATGAAGTGCATGTGTCTAATAAATCTGAAGTCAGCAACGGATCAGCATATAGAAACAGGCCTGGAAAAAAAAGAAGATCTGGCAGATCTAGCAGAAGCAAATCTCGCAAACGAATACAGTAAGAACAAAGCTTAAGAGAATACAGTAAGAACAAAGCTCCTTCCAACCATTAAATGATAAAGAAATATCCTATTCTTCTTCTCGCAGATTGCAGCGATTTTGGATTTATTAATGGTAACAAAAATGGAGACATTTGCACTTTATATTCATTTAAATTAATACCTTAATTGAATTTTATATTTTTATTTTCTATAGCAAATTGTACTTCTAAATCAAATGAATATAGTAATAAATGAATACATAAAATAATTAAGTATAAAAGTAACACATTTATTTCTTTCTTACCCAAAACAGTTCTAGGTTTTTAAAGTTTACCTTTCCTGATGAAATTATGAGACTTTCATTAATGGAATACTAGGTATTTTTAAAAAAATCAAAATGAAACGTTTTTAAAAACATGTAAGCTTCCGTAAAATTTTAACGTTTCACCATTTTTCAATTTCTAAAATTTTTTATATCTAAGAATGTGAAATTCCCTTTCACTCACAGTCGCACTTTAAATTTGTCCAATATCTAAAGTAGAATTATTAGGAAACTTTATTTTCATAAATTTGTCTACTATAAAATTTATTTTACAAGTTTTTCGTAAAATACAAACATAAAAGCACGTACACTGAAGTGACAAAAGTCATGGGATAGCTCCTAATACTTTGTCGGTCCTCCTTTTGTCCGGCGAAGTGCAGCAATTCGACGTGGCATGGACTCAACAAGTCGTTTAAGTCCGCTGCAGGAATATTGAGCCATGCTGCCTCTATAGACGTCCATAATTGTGAAAGTGTTGACGGTGCAGGGATTTGGGCACGAACTGATCTCTCGATGATGCCCCATAAATGTACGATGGGATTCATGTCGGGCGATTTAGGTGGGCAGATCATTCGCTGGAATTGTCCAGAATGTTCTTCTAACCAATCGCAAACAATTGTGGCCCGGTGACATGGCGCATTGTCATCCATAACAATTCCATCATTGTTTGAGTACGTGAAGTCCATGAATGGCTGTAAGTGATCTCCAAGTAGCTGAAGGTATCCATTTCCCCTCAATGATCGGTTCAGTTGCACCAGAGGACCGAGTCCATGCCATGTAAAAACAGACCAGATCATTATGGAACCACCACCAGCTTGAACAGTGCCTTGTTGACAACTTGGGTCCATGGCTGCGTGGGGTCTGCGCCACACTCGAACCCTACCATCAGCTCTTACCAACTTAAATCGTGACTCATCTGACCAAGCCACGGTTTTCCATTCGTTTAGGGACCAACCGATATGCTCACGAGCCCACGAGAGTCGCTGCAGGCGATGTCGTGCTGTCAGTAAAGGCACTCGAGTCTTCTGCTGGTATAGCCCAAGGAAGACAAATTTCGCCACACTGTCCTATCGGACACGTCCCTCGTACGTCCCACATTGATTTCTGCGGTTATTTGACGCAGTGTTGCTTGTCTGTGAACGTCGGCAACTCTACGCAGACGTCGCTGGTCTCGGTCGTTAAGTGCAGGTGGTCGGCCACTGCGCTGTCCATGGTGGGATGTTAGATACTCTTGGCAGACTCTTGACACTGTGGATCTCGGAATGGTGAATTCCCTAACGATATCCGAAATCGAATGACCCATGCGTCTACCTCCAACTACCATTCGGCGTTCAAAGTCTGTTAATTCTCGTCGTGCGGCCATAATCACATCAAAGCCTCTTCACATGAATAACTTGAACACAAATGAAAGCCCGCCAAAGCACTTCGCATTTATACATTTTCTACGCGATACTACTGCCATCTGTATATTTGCATATTGCTATCCCATGACTTTTGTCACTTCAGTGTATATTGCCATGACCATTTCCTTTTTAGAGAAATAAATAACTATGCTTGTTGCGTTTAATATGACACATAACTCATACTATGCACCTACTCTTGTAAAGTATGAGATAGGAAGTAATAGCTGATTCTTATAAATTCTAATAGAAATGAATTGGTGGAATTTTGCCTAAAAGAATAAAGTTAATTTCTAAATGGAGAAGTCACATTTTTTAACATTATTTATTGACAGTAAAAATTCGTCAGGTTAGATATCCGATATCAAAGGAAGTTAATAAATTGCTTTTTAAATGATTTGAAGAGCGTTGTACATTCCTACAGCTATGATTAAAGGAATTTATATGGAACTTACCATGCGTTATATCTCAACTCTTTTGTCGGTGACATCGAACGTCGTTTCTCTCGAAATTGGCCCCTTTTTCATATTTATGTTGTTGTTATGATCATGTTTCTGCAGGAACTGCATCTCTACATTACAGATATTAGGGGGAAAAAGCGATTTAGCCAAATTTTAAAAAATGAGGAAGTGAACATATCTGAATGATGCTAGGCAATGGGTTTAAACAATTAGTAGGTGATATATCTCATAATAGGATGTAATATGGCCTTAGTTGGATGTGACAGCTGGGAGAGTCCAAATCCTAAACCTCAGCCATTTGTCTTTTTGTTTCCCGTAGAAGCAGAATCAAAGTGAAGAGTCATTATCATAAAGAAGGTAATTAGACTATTAAGGATATGATCCAAAGGTTACATTGATAGTACCGACATGCGTAGAACCAACACTGCATAGCATCAACAGTAGTATTTCCGACGCTGCTTAAGACCAACAACAGCATACAATTGAAAGGGAAATATTTATTGTTAGAGTATCATCTATATTTATTATTACTTTTAGTGTATATCTTATACATCAAACCCGCAAAAGACCGACAATAGAATAGAACCAATACCAGCAGAGATTCGAGAACGGTTTCTGAGTTGCGTTATAAAATCTGGGTGCTACTTTGGTAGACGGTTGCACGGATTTTTAGCGATTTACTTTGGCGCGGTATTTACAATCATCAGTCATCTTCGAAAACGCTGTTTTTACCTATTTTGTGCATAGTAAAGTATTCGAAACTTTAAAAAAATAAATATCGTTAAAAATAATGGATTAATTTTTTGTTGAAAACGTTGTTCGTGCTACTTTGGTAGACGGTTGCACGGATTTTGGCGAGCTATACGACTTATGGTAAAACCATAGCTGGACAAGTTTTTTATGGTGACCGATACTTTGTTGTCATTTTATTTAAAAAAAATGCATTTTATTATGCATAAGTTCCGTGTTTTAAATATTATTTATAGCTTCTAAATATTAAAAATCAATTTAATTTTGCATTTTTATTTAAAATAAAATTTTATTGTTTATGATATTTTAATAATTTTATGCTGGGGATGATGTAATCAATGGCGTCATTGATTTAAAAGTAATTGGTTTCAATATCTGAAAATTTAATCTAAGGTTTTAAACATTATTTATGACTCTTAAATATTAAAATACAATTTAATTTTGCATTTTTTAAATGATTTTATTATGTCTGATAATTTAAATAATTTTAATTCTAAGCGTGATGTAATCAATTCCCTGATCGGTTACAGAATATTTGTGCATTAACGAGCTGTAATCAGCTCCCTGATTGGTTACTGAATATTTGTGCATTACCGCGCCATTTTAAAATTTTATTATTCATCTCTTCGAATTCCTCAGATTTCACAGGGAATGGATATGTCCCTTTCAAAGATCAATGTTGTTATTGGTAAGTACCAAGAATTATTGGTATCGGAATCAAAAAATTGTCCTTTGAGACCTTATTTTGGCCAACCTGGCTTTCTTTATCAGAGATTTATTTATAAATTGTACAAGGGTCAGAAGAAATTTATTTCAAATTTTTGGAGGAAACCTCGCTAATTGCTTCTTCAATGAAGTGCCAGAAATGTGGATCACAGATGAAGATTGTTAAAAGAGCCGATTCTGAGGACGGCCGTATATGATATTGTGATTGCGGTGGAAGGAATGACCACTGTAACGGTTAAAAAAAGTATTAGACGTTCCCCCTTTTTTACCGGCAGTAAACTTCTAATTGCTGTCATTTTTAGCTTTAGTGTGCGAAACGTTCTTATTTAATTATTTTAAAGTATTTAAGTAATAGTTTAACTCTTTTAAACGTTGGTATGGTGGTTTTTAATTCGATACTCAATTTAAGTAATATTTTAATCCAATTTAACGTTAGCGCAATGTTTTTATAGCGGTGCTTTTATTCTATTTCTTTGTTATATAAAAGTGATAATTTAACCTTTCTTTAGTAGTTTATACTCGTTGTAAATCTATTTATTTACATTTGCCAGCGTTTTCAACAAAAAATTAATCCATTGTTTTTAACGATATTTATTTTCTTAAAGTTTCGAATACTTTACTATGCGCAAAATACGTAAAAACAGCGTTTTTCAATATGGCTGACGATTGTAAAAACCGCGCTAACAATTGCGCCAAAGTTAATACCCAAACATCCATGCTACTGTCTACTAAAGTAGCACCACGTTGTTTTTTATATATTACTTAAACTCAAATACTTTAAAATAAGTAAATGAGAACGTTTCGTACACTAGAGCTGAAATGACAGCAATTAGAAGTTTACTGCCGGTAAAAAAGGAGGAATGTCTAATACGTTTTTTACCGTTACAGCGGTTATTTTTTCCACCGTGACCACAATACCATATACGGCCGTCCTCAGAATCGGCTCTTTTAACGATCTTCACCTGTGATTCACATTTCTCGCACTTCACTAAGAAGCAATTAGCGAGGTTTCCTCCAAAAATTTTAAAAAAAAATTCGTCTGACCCTTGTAACAATTTATAAATAAATTTTTGATTAGGAAAGCCAAGTTGGCCGAAATAAGGTCTGAAAGGACAATTTTTTCATACCGATACCAATAATTTTTGGTACTTACCAATAACAACATTAATTTTTGAATGGGCAAAAATCCATGCAACCGTCTACCGTTGTTTTTTATATATTAATTAAATTCAAATACTTTAAAATAAGTAAATAAGAACGCTACGTACACTAGAGCTAAAATGACAGCAATTAGAAGTTTACTGCCGGTAAAAAATGAGGAATGTCTAATACTTTTTTTTTTACCGTTACAGCGGGTATAAC